CCCCCCCCCCCCCCCCCCCCCCCTAGTCTCAGATATGGATTACAAGGTTGTGTTCGCAGCCTTGGAGACAGTATGCGAGGACAACATTTCCATTTTGTGCGGGCCCTCCGACTTGCCGTACGGCGCCGTCGCCAGGCGCCTGGTCACGTGCATGAGAGAGATCCAGGAGCACGGCCGATCCCTGAAACCTGTGATCGCCAGCTTCACCGCCGTCTTCCACCACTATGACTTCGATGCACAAACGCCCGCGAACGGCTACCGCACACTGGCCAAGGTACGACCGAACCCGATGACTGGATGCGTTGCTCCGCTCACTGCTGGTTTGTTAACAGTGCTGTGTTTTTGAAGGTGTCACATGGAACAGTTTGAATCATCATTAGGGCTGCAACTAACGAGTATTTTCCCCATTGGTTGTTTTCTTGTTTAATCTATTCATTATGTGGTCGATAAAATGTTAAAGAAATAGGAAGAATATACAGTATGTTACAATTTTACTATTTTTGTGGCTCTTTGTTTTTTTGGACAGTTTTGGACAACAATGGAGCTCTATGACACAAAAAAAGCTACATAGAGCATTGACTCCACATGTTTCTGGTCTTTTTATGGTATTTGTTGGAAAATGGAAAATACAAAAAACATTTCTCTCTGTCCTTCAGGTCTTGCTGTCTTGCCTTATGCACATCATCCACAAGGGGCGTTACATCGCCTCCAATTACAACAGTGCCTTCTTCAGGGCGGACCACAACGCGTCGGAGATAGAGGCGTACTGCAGCGCTCTGTGCCAGCTGCGGGCGCTGCTGCACCTCGCCGAGCAGCTGATCAAGGACAACGGCTACGGCGAGCTGTACTCCATGCAGGACGGGGACATGAGCCGCCGGTTCGTGCGGGAGTACAGCTCCATGCACAAGGCCTGCTTCTACGGCCGCTGTCTGGGCTTCCAGGTCAGCCGGTTTTGTCCAATTCTTAGCACGCTAAAGTTGGTTTTCCCGCCAAAATATTATTCACAATAACTTGGATGCGAGCCTGTCGATCGCTCTGAGCGCTCACTGAGCACCTCTCGTCATGTCACGTTATGTAGCCAAACAAATCAGATCCCAAATAGCCAGTTTATGTTATAATGTAAAGTATTTTTAAGAATGAAAAAGCATGTGAATCTTGTTTTAATTGTCTTATTATTATCTGTCCATTTCTTATCTCAGTTCTCGCCAAGTCTACGTCCGTTCCTCCAGACCGTTGTCATAAGCATGGTCACGTATGGAGAGACATACAGTAAACAGCAGTCGGGTTTGGGTAAGTCTTGGTTTTGTCCATGATGTCATGCCATTGATGGACCTTTTTCTGAAGTGTTTCCCGCTCAAAAGCATCCCGTCCTCTTCCAGGTCTGGCGGCCCTTTCCCTCCTCACATCGGGGAAGTACGTCATCGATCCGGAGCTGCGGGGTGCCGAGTTCGAGCGCATTACCCAGAACCTGGACATGCAGTTCTGGAAGTCCTTCTGGAACCTCACAGAGTCCGGCCTTTTAGCAGTAGGCCGGGTCAATTATCCTTCTACCGACTCTCGACTCAGCTAGAGTCCCCTTTAGTGTTTTAACCGCTCAATCCGCTGCATGTCTGTCTCCCTCCAGGGCTTCAGCAGAATAGCCTCTTACCCAGTGCAGGTGAACTTCACCCTGACCGTGCCCCCTGTCACTCTGCACCTCCCGCTGGCCTCGGACCCCAGCCTAACAGCCACCGTGTCGCCTCCGATAGCCCACTGGGGCCCCGGACCAGTCCTCATGCGTCTGATCTCCTGTGAGCTGCGAGAAGGACAGGTGAGCAATACAAATGTGGACCAGACATAGTTTTAGATTTACTTAGACGTATATATTTGTGTAAAATCAATCATATCCATAATTTGAAATGTATCCATGTATATTCACATTCACGCTGTGATATTGGCCTGAATCATTGTCGTATGTTATTCACGCCACTGAGACAGGGAGTCTAGGATAGTGGCCTTGGAGCCCGGGTGAAGATAGAGGGGGGATGACGTAGATGAACAAGTAGGGCAAGATTTCTAATGCAGGGAAGAACGGGAGCCGGTCGCTGTGATGGGCGGCCAGAGGCGGAGTCGGGAGAAGACGAGTGGGGAAGGAGACTGTGGTTAATCAACAAAACTTGTTATGACTTGTCCGAGGTACACAGTGTAGCTTGTCTTGGTGAAAGTTTAGGGGGAGGGGGGCTTAGGGTAGAATGGAGGTATAAAATAATGTACAATGCTATTGTGAAGTTAGTTGACTCAGGACTGCTCGGGTTACTTGTACACTTTGTGATGCAAATAAATCTGCGTGAGCTGAAGAAAATTCAATCTTAAGACATTTGATCTTTGATCCATTGTGATTAGTTCCACGTGAATTTTCTGTCTCTTTTTGTCCGTCATGTGACCTGATGTTGACAAAGGCATTTTCCTTTAAAAGTTGTTTTAGAAAACTCTCAAGAACTCGATAGATTAGAGACCCGATCGATCGGCTGCATGAGAGTCATAACACAAAAGTGTACAAACGAATGTACAAGCCGACCCAAATCGATCTGTTACCAATAAGAACTGTATTATTGCTATATAAAGTGGTTGTATATTATGACGTAGAAAATGTGTAAATCAGGTTTGGAAAAGGTCATTTCTGTGTCGTTCTGGAAGAGAATGGCATGTTTTGGTGTCCTTTATTTATTTATTACCTTGTGACTTGTCCTCTCACTTTTTAGGCGAGCGAAGAGTTACTCGCTTATTCTCGAAGCAACCCACCCCCCATCACCGCGTCCCATCTCCCCTGGGTACAGACGCAGCCTCGCTCCCCCTGGCTGCTCATCCACTTCCACGGAGGCGGCTTCGTGGCCCAGACCTCCAGATCCCACGAGGTACGGCACACGACGCTGGCGTTAACTGTATCACAGGGTTAATACTACTACTACCACCCGTACTCTTAATCTTCTTATAATAACGGTTATATTTAGCACCAGACCTTTCAATCCGACTTAGTGTTTCACAAGTTTACAATGAAAGTAAGCAGGTTTTCCATTCATCACACATATTTGTTCTGCTCTCTATCCCCCCTCACAAATCAGAATTACCTGCGGACTTGGTCTAAGCAGCTGAGCATGCCCATCCTCTCCGTGGACTACTCGCTGTCACCCGAAGCACCGTTTCCCAGAGCTCTGGAGGAATGCTTCTACGCCTACTGCTGGGCTCTGAACAACTGTCATCTGCTGGGTGTGTGTGTGTGTGTGTGTGTGTGTGCGTGTGCACGGCGTCACGCTGCAGACAACACAGGGCCGTAGTGAACCAACAGGGAGAATTCATGTCTTTCATTTTAACTGATTATTATGTCCGTCTGATCATATTTGGGGATTGACTGCATATTTATTTATGTGGGAATTAGGATTTTTTGCAAGAACACACAGTATTTATTGTTAAAATCACTTGTAAGTATGAACAGTTACTTACACTTATATATATGTATACAACTGCCCCGATACGAGAAAAATATTACTTAAAAATATATGCAAATGAGTATTTATTGATTTAACAGAATGTGTGGATTCAAAATGCAACTGTGTGGGCCAATGCATCCACACCTGCAGCTCTGTGGACGGCTGCATTTCTACACAAAGCAATAGAGAGTCTGTGCACCTTCACAGATTTACACAACACTATTACACAGTGTACCTATTTCACATGTGGTGTTACCGTTTGTCCCCCAGTAGGAGGGACACCTTATGTCCTCAATGTGGCATGTGATTTGATGTTTGTACATTATCAGAACGTGAAAAGTGTCATATGTGACCACTCGCACCATTTCAAGTGTTGATTGTAAAAATAAATGTTATTTCAACGGCTCCGTCCGTGTGTCTCAGGCTCCACGGCGGAGCGTGTTTGCCTGGCGGGCGACAGCGCCGGAGGAAACCTCTGCATCACCGTGTCCATGAAGGCCATAAGCAGCGGCATCCGGGTCCCCGACGGCATTATGGCCGCCTACCCCGCCACCTTGCTCACCACTGACGCCTCGCCGTCCCGCCTGCTCACGCTCATCGACCCGCTGCTTCCTCTAGGTGTCCTCACGAAGTGCATCAATGCCTATGCAGGTAGGTGTGTGTGTGTGTGCGCGTGTGCGTGCGTGCGTGCGTGCGTGCGTGCGTGCGTGCGTGCGCGTGCGTGTGCAGCATCGTTTGCCGCCTCATTTAACACAAGAGAACTTTCCGGCGCTACCGGAACAGAATGTGTGAGGGATTAATGTAGAAACCGGATAACGTGAAAGGAAAGATGAGAATAATTAACCTGCTGTTATGTGCACTGTTCTGCACTAAATACAAAGTGTGTGGCTCCACCTAGTTGGATGTTTTTTATTGCCACAAGCCTCTGATTTACCACTGAGCTCTCTGAATCCTCCAACAATAGTCATGTCACACTGAATCCATAAACAGTTCATCTTTCTGGAACAGAGAGACTCTAGTGAGCTCCTAGTAGCGTAACATTGTAGCAGATTTTATCATATCGCCTCGATATCTTTGAAAACTTTTGCTTTTCTACACTCGTATCTCAGGTGTTGGAGAGCTTCTCTCTGTGTGCTTATTGTCACTGAGTATCATTGAGAGAATGCTTTGTTCCCCATTGCAGATGAACAGAATTATGATTTTACATTTGCAGAAAAAAAAAACTATCTGGACGGACTGATTCCTGTATTTGGTTTAAAAATGTCACTGGAATTTCTATATGTGAGGTGAAAACAGAAGATCCTCAGGGTGAAAGAACAAGCCTCAGTAATCTGAGTGACGTCAGCATCTTGTTGCCATGTGAACGATGTATATACTGTGTCGGAGGAGAGAGTAAGAATCAGGATGTGTTGCCTAGCTCCCTGCAAGGACTCTGTTTTCAGCTTCTTGTGCTTTTCAGTTTTGCTCTTTCGTTTGATTACTCTCCACCCTTTAAAGAAGGAACGGCAAACTGTTACAGAACATCTGAAACTATCTGTGTTTCTACAGTAAGAAAACAGGTTCTTCTTTCTCTCGGTGTGTTTTTGTCAGTCTATCCGACACATTTGCTTACGTCACATAATCTCCCTCCCAGGTGCAGACTCCCAGACGGTGCAGACTGCGGTAGGCAACGGCAGCCTGAGAGCTCTGGGCAGAGACACCGCCGCACTGCTCAGCGATCTCACCCAGGGAGCCTCCAACTGGATCCAGTCCTATCTGGACCCCATGCGGACTACGGGGGGAGTGCGCTCGCTGTCGTTAGCGCAGACGGGGTCCGCAGGCGGCGCGACTCGCGGGACGCCCGCTTGTGCCTCCGCAACACACTGCAGAGGTCGGGTGGATTACCCAGAGGGCTTTGAGCCCCTGCGCTCCGAGTGCCTGGCCTTCGTTCGCCTGACGTCCTGCCCCGTCATCAGGAACCCGTTTGTGTCGCCCCTGCTGGCTCCTGCAAGCCTGCTGAGAGGCCTGCCGCCTGTACACATAGTGGTAAGAGTTTATATCTCCGAGAGGAACCTCATGTTCACCCCGAGGACAATTTTAACTCTTAAACTAACTTCAGCGAAGGCACATTTTGTAGCCTGGTTAATCAGACTCGGATGCCATTTCCTGTTACTTAATTCATTCATTTTGATTGGCTGAAGAAAGCTTGAGACGTGGGCGTCAATACTAAGATCTGGAACCAGGCTTTAAGATTCCTACGAAATGACACGTCTGTGTGTTGGGCTCACGGACTCATCGACATAATCAGTAATGATGACATGATTTCTGTTGGCTGCTGGTATTCTTCCACTTTAACTTTCCTTTCTGGACTGCATGCTGGTTTGGCACAGATTTTCTCCAGCTATTTCAAAACGGCAAAGATTTCTCTTGTTGTATTTTTGTCTGAAGACAGAGACAGCTGAATGTTAACGTCATTGGATTGTGTGGAATGGGTTTTCAAGTTGATTTTCACACTTGTATTAATTGGGGGCTAAAAGCATGCATGAGAATCCGTGAAGGAGCTCGGTGTGGTCCAGTTTCATGCACGCACACACACACAGCTTCATTTTCATGTGTGTTGGGTGTATGATGAAGCTAGACAGATAAATCTGCCCGGCCGATATTCCAGATATTTCAGTAGAAATTGCAATACAGAACTACGTTTGAGTTTTTTCCCCCCTAAACCTTGTTTCCCCCTCCTCAGGCCTCTGCTCTGGACGCCCTGCTGGACGACTCGGTGATGTTTGCCAAGAAGCTACGCGACATGGGCCAGCCCGTGAGCCTGACGGTGGTGGAGGACCTGCCGCACGGCTTCCTCAGCCTGTACCAGCTCGTCAAGGAGACGGAGGTTGCCGCGGATATCTGCGTGGAGCAAATGAGGATAATTTTTCAGCGAGGAAACCTTCGCAAGCGACCAAAGCTGGGAGAGACATCTCCTAGCGGCAGTCAGTCGGGCTGATTTTACCCGTCGGGACTTTGTTGTTGCTGAGGCGAAAAAAAGACAACTGACGTAATGAGGGAGGGATCGATTGGAGAAAAAAAAAAAAAGAAACAAGTCAGGGAGAATTATGAGGGCTGCAACGAAACCTTTAAGAATAGAGGAAGCTTAGGGACACTGAGCTTTAAACCTCCACTCCGCAACATTTTTTCTGTCACCAGCTATAATCGAGAGAGACGCTTAAAACTTTCTTTACCAGCTCTGGTGTGATCTGAAATGATGACAAAGAGAGGCAATGATGATCTTGTCTGTCCCACATGTTCAAGATCCAAACGCACATTGAGACTTTTACAGGCTGTCATGAAGTTCCCCGTAACCAGCCCGTGTAGTCGTTTCTTATCTGATGTACTGTACGTCAGGAATGGGAGCTGCTGTGCCTTGAATTTAAAGTGCTGCTAAAGTGTGAGAGGAGAAGCTTTGCCTACATTACTGCACAAACTGACAAGGTTTACTTGCACAGAAAAACACATTTCAGACACACTCTTATTATTTTGTTTTGTTTACCAGCGGTATGTGGACGTGGGTTATAGAAGTTACTTGCTGTACTGTAAATGAATTCCGAACATATGTTGAATATTTAACACTTTGTTGTTTATATTTAAAGTCTGAATTAAAATTGAAACTTCCAAGGGCTGCTGGTGTTTCTTTCAAGGAGCGTGGACATTTTTTCAGCAGCAGAATGTGAGCGTTACCTCCTCTGTGAGCACAACCTGTTCTGTGCAGCAGCAGCAGATTATGTACAGTATAACATGTAAACCGGAAATGTTGTTAAATCAGCCAATTCGTAAATTGTAGCATGTAGTATGTGGAAACATTTCTCCAAAGAGCTGGTATACAATTGGTATTGTTACTGTACACAAGCTTGTTGTTGCAGACGTCATACCCTTAACCCAAACATTCTAACACTTGACCCCATTGACAGCTTGACATTTCCCATCCTACACAGTAAGTAAGGGACGGATGGAGACCTACGACACCAACAGGTGACCTTTCTAACCATCTGCATGAGCTCATCCTGCCCATTTCGTCCCACTGTGGCCTCTCAGGGGCGAGGACATCGAGCTGCGTCTGGGTGAGCACCACATCGGCTACAAGGACGGGTCCCGTGCAGTTCATCGCTGCCGCTGTCATCGTCCGCCACCCGAACTACGTCCGTTGCACCATCAACCACAACATCATGCTGGCAAAGATCGACAAGTACGTCCAGCCCGTCGACCTGCCCGCCAGCTGCGGGCACCCGGTGTCTGGTCTCTGGATGGGGAGCCACCCAGAGACCCTGTAAGTCTGGGGGGGGGGGGCGGCATTGTGTTCAAGGAAAAAACGTTTCACCAGTGTCACAGGTCAAAGAGCACTTCTTTGTGTGTGCGTGTGCGTGTGCGTGCGTGCGTGCGTGCGTGTGTCCCAGTTGGTTGTACTAAATACCTGGATCTGCCCATCCTGCCTTTTTTATCAAATTCCTTTAGATTTTGTGTCTTCTTTTTACTTACTCTTTAATTATAATTATGTTTATTTTATTCAGTTATTTGTAAGAGACGAGTACAGACAGAGAGTTGCAGAAGCAGTGTCCAATGTAGCTAAAGCTAATTTCCAACACCTGTCCCTCTGTGAGCATTTTTCTTATCATTTTGTGATTGTTTACGACAGTGTTGTTGTTGTCCCCGTCTTCCCCATCAGGGAGATTCTGGTGGCCCCTTGGTGTGTAACGGGGAGCTGCAGGGTGTGGTGTCCTGGGGACGGGGCTGTGCTGAGGAGGATCGTCCTGGGGTTTACGCCAAGGTGGGGTCCACTCAACAGACCTCTGTTCTGTGATGCTTAATACGAGTTTATAGAGTAATATGTCAACACTGTAGTTGGCACAGTCGGTAGCAATTTGTCAAAAATTAGGGACTTTAAAAAGCACTTCAGAAGTTGCCATTATTTACTTTGATCTCAGGAGGATTATGTGTCGTGTTAGAAATTTTCAACTTTCTTGTTTTGGAGATTGCTGTTCAGATGGTCGCCTGCCATTTCTTTAAATTAAAGTTGAGCTTAAAGCTCCTCTACTGCAGTAAGAGCTGTTGTGAATAATAACATGCCCTCTGTTGTGTTGTAATCAGTCATACCGGAAGGTATTTTAGATTCCAAATATTAGCGTAGATACGGATAATTATATCAGGCCGATACTGACTCAAATAGTTGGATCCGGTATTGGTGACAATGGGGCTGATCTATTCAATTCTATGTTTATATACTATCTATAT